CTGTCGTCGACCACGTCTGCGGCATTAGGAACCTCGTTGCCTCTGATACCAACTGGTAGGTACCGCCTACCTCGGTAGTCTCTTCGAGGGAGACTCACCTCCTTGGATAGAGAAGATAGGAAGGGAAGAAGTTTATTTCTATATTCCTTTATTACACGATTGCTGGCCTTATATAATGGCCTACTGAGCTAATCATGAGGATCAGATATTCTCATGTGCAGGTGTAACCAACTCTGGCACCGAATCATCTGTAATGGCTGGTGGTCCCCTCTGTCTTCTAACAAACCGATGTGAAATGGCTTCTCTCAGGATCCATCGTGGGCTGCTGGGACTGGGCTCGAGTGGACTGGCATGGTCGTAACATTCTCATTGTTTAGTATGAATGCAGTCTCTCTCTCTCTCTCTCCTTTTCATTTCTTTTTTTTTTTTTTTTTTGGTTTGTTATTGCCATGCCTTCATATTGAACTTAAAATATGTATAGGCCTTGAACTTCAGAGATGGAACATGCAATTGGTCAATGAGATTTGAGTGAACTTATCTACTTGTTGATTGGTTTTGGAATCTGGTTTCTTTTGTTTTTGACTATCTTGAGTCTTACGAGTCCTTAAGTTATTTCTTTTAGTTGGAACATTGAGGCATATAGTCTATGTCTAACATGCTCTTTCTTGAGAAGGAACTTTTTTCCCATTTTTCCATGGGTAGGTTCAAAATCTATGGTGGAATGAAACTGAAACATACTATCCATCTATTCAACAACCCCCAGAGTTTGGGTGTGTACATACAATTAGCTTGGGAAGAAAGAAACAATGCCTTTTTGAAAATGGATCTAGATCTTTTGACGATTTGCTTTCTCATATGTCTTTCTTGGGTAACCTGTGGGAGCTAATTCTGTGGAGTTCAAAGGATTTTCTTTGAATGATTTGCAAAGGAGTTTGGTGGAAGTCCTTTATTCTTCATCAGGGTCTTTAAGCAGATCTAGTGTTCCCTTTACAAGTTTGGAGTCAGAACTTGGATTAAATTTTGATGGTAGTTCTCTGGGTAACCCTGTAACTGAGGGGATAGGTGGAGTGTTTAGAAGGGACGGAAGCTTTGAGTGAGCTTTCAGTGGCCCAATTTGGGTTTGCTGATTCTACAAAAGCAGAAATCTTGGCTGCACTCACAGGTCTTTGAATAGAAAAGATAAAAGCTGGTCTGCTCTAACCGTTGGAGTTGATTCTGCAAATACTATAAAATGGTTAGGGAAGAAAGACGGAGGCTCTTGAAGGCTAGCACATTACCTGACTGAGGGCAGAGATACTTTGGACACCTTGGTTGTAAATCTAGCCTGGGTTCCCAGAGTTAAATTTAACAGCCGATGATTTGGTCTTTAGGGAAAATCTATATAGTGAAAGGTTTCTACCTATGTAATTTCTGAGTGTTGGTCTTTCCCTGCAGATTGTACATCTTCTCATGTACTCTCTTTGTTTTTATTATATAATCAGTTACCTTTTTCTCAAAAAAAAAAAAAAAAGGCTTCTAACCATTTCATGCTTTAGAATTATACACTTCATTCTTGCACCTTTGAATACTAATAAATCCTCTAGGAAGGGTGGGGGTAGGGGTAGGAGGGGTGTTAATGGGCATGGTAAGAAATGGTTTCTTTTTCCCCTAAAATCTTATAGGAAACAATCAAGAAAAGACGGAGAATGTGACCATACAAGCTCGGCTGAAAATCAATAGAGTACCTCATCATCATTGTCCAAGTATTCTCCCAACCATATGGGACTGGAAATCAATAGAAGACTTGCTAGGTTGAATTCAACAAGATGCATGATTGCACCATAGGTGGTGTATCGGGGCAATTGAAATGGGATGTCTACACCGACTGGACTCGACCTCATTGACATGTGAGAGAATCTGCAATACATTTGTCAATTGAAACCAAGACAGGGTAGATCTCACTGATATATCAACTATATTTAATGCATATGGATTTTTACTATTTTCTTTTCTTTTAGGTGGTTGTGGACCTCCTTTTCAAACAGTCACCTAAAATTGGTACCAGTACCGACTCCAACCTAAATAAGTTTTAGGTATGTTCTATATTTGGTATGCCATTATATATGATATGATATTTAGCGACACTGGGACCATGTAAATGTCTTGAAGATGCAAGGAAGCAAAGATTACATTTCTCTTATTAAGTTTAAAGGGAGATTGATTGATATCTGTAATTAGGATTTACCGTTTTAATTTCTTTTGAGCCTAATATGAGTTTTAGTTATCATGAGATTTCTAGATTTCTAGACAGGATCTGTGACATGTTGTTAGTAACAGGTCTAGGGTTCCAAATTTGTCATATATCATGTATGGATATGAGTGGCACATGCCAGCCAATATGGTCAATGGTTTTAAAACTGCTGTTGACCTGGGCGGTCAAAATGTTCAACTTGGGAATTGGTCGCCTATCTGGTTATATTTTTCACCTGGCTCAGATTTTTCCCCAAAACTGTTGAAATGGTCAATTAAACACTGACCCGGACGATTGAACCACTAAGCCATTTGACCTGGACAGTGGTCCATGGTTCAATAATAAAAAGTGAAATTATTTTTAAAAACTAAAATGTCAAAAATAAAGTTAAAAAGTAAAGGGAGGGTTGTTGGCTTTTAAAACTTTGATAGGGCCCATCATGAAGAAGATAAATCAAATATTATCTCAAAAAGTCCTTGTAAAAATGCTATTTCAAACTTATGCTTTAAAAGAAAATATATGGTATTAAAAACTAATGAGAAATCTAATAGACATTGCATTATAAAAATATTTAGATATCTAAGAATTCAAATTAGCAAAAACCTTCCGCTCAATAAAACACTCATCCCAAAAATGTTTTAAATGACTTTAAGATCAATTTTATATTTCCCTTTAACAATAGTTTAGAACAATAAATAAGGTAAATTACTTAAATATACCTTGTGGTTTTACTAAACTACTTAAATATTCCCTATAGTTTTCAGAACTACTCAAGCATACCTACCATGTTGGGTGGCCCTATTTGACATAAATAGGCCTTCCATTAATGAAACGGTTAGGGCCATTAGCACTGCATCATACATTTTATTATAATCTCAATTTTGCCCTTCCATGGTGTCTCAATTGGTAAGTTCTTTTATTGGTTGTTAGTGGAGGCTTGGTTAGTAACTTATATTATCAACAACTTGGTTTTTGCTAGAAATGTAATGAATAATAATAGAACCAACTGCAACTTTTTCCCAATAAAATGAATGTCAAATTCAATATGTTTCATGTGTGAATATTGAATGGGATTTGATGCAAGAAACTTGCGCCCCCATGTTTCATGTGTGAATATTCAATATGGTGGCAAGCTTGATAGAGGAGAAGCCGAGTTCAGAGAATGGCATACATAGCAAGAGTACCTCAGTAGTGGTAGAGGGAAGGCAATGGTATTCAGCCTTTAGTACTAGAGCAGGAAATAGTGGGTTGTTTTTGAGAACTCTGGGAAACCAAATTGGGACCCAAGAAAATTGCATATCCACTCTAAGAACGGTGATCAATAGGGCAACCATCCCAATTAGCATCAGAGAAGCCTAATAGAGAGAGTGATGTGGAGGGATGAAGTAGAAGACTATAGTGAGAATGGGCCGAATGGGCCCTAGTGTTATTTATTTCTTTTAAGTAGTGTTTAAAAGTTATGTTTCTTAGTTATGGGCTTTATGAGCCTTCTTTTATTTATTTTTAATTATTTCTTTAGTTCTGGCCTTCCCATTAAGGGCATCCAAGTAATTGTATTCAAACTTAGAATTATTAATAAAAGTGATGATAGGGGGCTAGAGAGAGAGGTTCGAATTCTTTTTTTCTCTCTTCCCTTCTTTTCTTCTTCCACAACCTATTGCTGAAACTTCTTTTCTTCTTTCTCTTTCTCTCATTTCTTCTTTTCTTGCATTATCCGAATTATTGTAGGTGTAATTTTCAACTTGGTATCAGAGCGGGTTCTCACTTTCAACTTTTTCTCCTTTCTTTGCCCATACATAGTGTGTATGGAGAACTGATTGGTTGATCGATCAGCTACTTATGCAGCCCAGTTAGGAAGGTTTTTAGAGAGTTTTGTGGAGGTTTTTCATCCTTAGTTGAAGCCCAGGGCAGGTTGTAGAGACAATTTGAACCAGGCGCTTTGGGATCAGAGGTAAGCCTTTTGATTTCTATTAGGGGCAGTTTTGTTTGGATTGAATTCTGGAACCTCTGGAAGGGGCGGTTGAAGTTATTCTTTTTCTCCTCATCCCACAAGACCCTGTAAAACCCTAATTTTGGGGGGTTGAGAGGTTGTTCTTTGCTTAGAATAGTAAATCTAGCCTAGTAAAGCCTTAATTTGATTTTCGTTTGCATCCGCTTACTCAATGGAGCAAACTGGAGGAGAGACCAAATATTCTACAGATTCTGAGTTTGGACATGGGGTCAGTGGAAAATCTTTTTGGGGCTATGACTACTGTGAAGCTGGATGGGACCAATTATTTAGCTTGGTCTCAATCTATTCAGATACATGTGTGTAGTAGAGGAAAATGGGTTTATATTACTGAGAGCAAGAAGAAACCAGAGGAGGATGATCCTACCTATGAAAGGTAAAACATACGTAGGGTCCATTTCGTTTGCAGTCAGAACCGGATCGGAATGGTCTATTTTCATAGTTTGTTTGGTTCAGATGGGAATCGGAAGGGGAATTGGAATCAGCAGGAACAGGATTTCATTCCCAAGGGAAAGGGAATGGCCATTCCATCAGGAATGGGAATGGGATTCTGATTTACCCCAACCCAATTGTTGGAATTGGAATGGTCCATTCTGATTCCAATTCCAGACCCCTATTCCCACAAATCAAATGGGACTTTAGATCTTTCCAAATACCCAAGCTGATTCATAAGACTCCTAGTTAAATGGTTCATGCCTTCACTAAATTGCTTGACCAGCAAAGGCATCATGTACATGAATCGTTGCTGCATCACCGCCATCATGATGATAATGAAACTAAAAAGATGTTTTATTCCGCAGTGAAAGAATACACCTGAGCTCAAACAAAATGAAATTCAAAAAGAAGAGATACAATACAAAAATGGTAAACAAGTAAGCTCATGGTATCTCCGTTGAAATCAAGGAATGTAATAGATGCGACTTAAGGTCAAATACTGTTTGATGCTAATTGAACAGTCACTGATAATGCCGTAGCCAATACAATAATGCTCACAGGAGAGAACTGACTTGAAGAACTTGTTGCTGTTCCATTTGCAGTGTTGTTTACACTTGATGTTCCTCCATTTGCAGTATTGTTTACACTTGGTGAGCCTGCAATTAATGTAGATTGATTTCATTAGTTATAATGGAAAGCAGGTAAAATAGGTCATCCTTGTTTAAGCCCAGCACATTTCTTTAATACTTTTATTAAGTAGTGACCACCCCATATTAAGTATGGAGTAACTATGTCAATTGTTTATTTGAGATTAATATAAAAAATGGGCATTACACACCGTTGAGAGTTTTTATGTAGAGAGAGATTGGATCGATCGGAATTTACATTGGTGCCTCCACAGAGCGGGCCCCACATACATATCTTACCGTCCTTAATTACCATGGGAGATGTTTTCAATACAGGGTTGGGATGTGCTGTGAGGCGTTGCGAATTCATACGATCCCACTGTTCACCCATCCCAATTACGTTTCTCCAAGTAATCCAAAATGATGGGCCAAATAGAGTAACTGGCTAAAGTGCCCATCCATATTGCTCCCTCAGAGAGATCTTATTTGCAGACTATAATAATAATAATAATAATAATAATAATAATAATAATAATAATAATTAACAGAAGTATCATGTATAATGGACAAGACTGTAGAGTCTAGAGCGAGTAAAGTCGTGCCAGAAACAGAAGTGAGACGTGGTTACCTGCAAGGCAAGAGCTTGCGTTGAAACTGGTTCCACATTTAGCTGGTAATTTCTGCGCCTGGGCGACATTGATCCTCGGTTGAGTTGCATTAGCGGCGTTGGCGGCTATAAGATCGCAGAGGCACTGCGGCTTGGACTTGATCACCGATTTCAAAGGATCACAGCAACTACTCGGCGGTTTTGTCTCACTGATAAAAGCCAGACACGGAGAAATCTCGTTTATACACGAAGAATCCTGCTGAGCCTGGCATTCAGACACAGAGAGCACCAGAGCTACTACTACTACTACAAAACTAAACTTCCCCATTTTCTTCGTTTCGTCAGTTGGATACTCTCACTCTGTGGCCCGGACGATGATGCCACTGCACTACTTATATACTGATCTTTTCTGCAACTTGTCAATATAAATGACCTTTATTTGGTGTTATATAATCTACCAAAAAGTCAAAGAACCATGCTTAATTTTTAATTTAAATTAAATAACATAGCAGTTCGGATCTTCTACATCATAATCTTGTGGGCAGGAGATCCGGATTGATAACATAGTCATAAATCATAATCTCATAATAGAGGAAGAAGTCAAATAACCATTAATGAATATGATCGATCCTGGTATACGATTGGCTCTTGGTACCCACTCTCCGGCCGCTTCAACTTGCTCATCGGGGTTATTACGAGGTTACTCTTTCACATGCAGGATTGAATTAAAGAAAGGGTGCGGAAATTCAACAGCCGGGTCTCCCCATGTGCACGGTGCTCGGTGCTCGGTGGCGGTGCGTCTCCAAAATGCATAGAGTGCATACGCCTTTCTTCAATCTTCATTCTACAGTCAATCCACTAACGTGTACGTCAAGGTATTAGTAACTAAGGAGTCCCGGATCTGCTGCAACTTTTCCCTGTATTTTAGTTCACTAGTGTTTCGTGCGTCAATTGTATGGTCAAATTGAAAGAACATCGGTTCAGAACTCTCTGCCCTTCAAAAACAAACAGCTGTTAACCACGGGATTAACAGCTGTTCACCGTAAAGTCATATATAATTTTGATAACCATTTATTTACCAACTTTAAAGTGTTTTTTTTTTTTATACAGCAAGTATTGAGTTTTAGGTAAATTCATCTTTATTTATCCTGTTAAAACTGTGTCCGCGTTCTGTGAACTCCTGGGTTCACGTCAGGGATGACCACGTCGTCGGGTCTGGGTATACACTGGCTAATTTTAATGGGTTTCGGCCGTTAGTTGGGGTATGCAGTTAAACCGGGCCCAAAACGACAAAAAGTAATAAAGCCCCTCCCAGTTCGAACCCTTCCTTCCCTTTTTAGCTTTTCTCTTATCTCCTCCACCGAACACTCCTACAGTCCTACCCCATACACTGGCCATCGTCCATCGGTGGCAAGAGTTCCAACGGTACACTCTTCTTCTTCTTCTTACACCGGCGCTGCGTTCTATCAGCAACCTGTGAGCATTCTATCATCCGAAATGTAAACAACCACCTTTATGCATGTGAATGCTCGTTGTAAGAAGTTCCAAAAGTTAAAACAACTTCTTTGTGTACATACACCAAGATTTTAATGAGCCAGAGTTGTCCTCGCCAACCATCTTGATTACTACATGCCACAGTTTGGTGTACATTTTTTTTTTTCATTTTGGAGTAGTGATTTGTCAGTTTGGTGTTATGCATGTAATGCATATTTACATGCTCAAGTGATATTGCAAATGCGATCGGTATATGAGACCACCTACTTGGTGAATCCCAATTGATGAATCGATTTTTATTGATGTATCGATTTTTTGGTTAAGTAACTTGTCATTTGGTTTGCTTCTAAGTGGCTGATGATTTAGAGGTCGAAGTGGAGCTGTCTAGGTGCCGAGCTGCCTGTGAGGTGCCGAACTACCTGTGAGGTGCTGGGCTGACCAAGGTGGTGAGCTGCCTATGAGGCGCGGGCTGACCAGGTGCAGGGCTGCCTGTGAGGTGCCGAACTGCCTGTAAGGTGCCGAGCTGTCTAGGTGTCGAGCTAGATTGATGAGTTTCGTTGCTCTTTAGAGACCTACAAGGAATCAAATATCAGAGGACCCGGGGTGGCTAACCCGGCGAGGTCGCTCTGATGCTTAAGTTAGTAATCTCATAGTAGACTGCAAACTAAAAATCACACAGTATGAGAGCTAGAATTTTCTTGCTTGCCTCTGTGGTTGGTGCCTTTATATAGGCATTGTTTAGCGTGGGCTTCACGCACCATTTCCGAGATTTCTGCGAGGTCGTCTAAGTGGTTCGAGATTCCTGGAGGTAACCGCCATGCACGTTGACCACCCTCCAAATCGTTCGGCACGTGGGCCAACTTTCAAGGATCATGGGAGTGTTAGGATATGCATGTCGAATTCGTCGGCGAGCATGTCTTACAAGTCGCCAGGTCGGCACATGTGTTAGGTCGTCAGGTCGCGCCTGGGCCAGGCCGCCAGGTCGGTGCTTGTGCCAGGCCGCCAGGTCGTGCCTGTGCTAGGCTGCCATCTCGGCGCCTGTGCCAGGCCGCTAGGTCGTGCCTGTGCTGGGCTACCAGCTCGTGCCAGGGGCAGGCCGCCAGGCCACGCCTGCGCCAGGTCGCGTTTGGGCCACCAGGTGGGACACCATCAACTTGGCTAAGGCAAGTTGTTGCCAAAGTGATTCCGGGTATCACCTAGTTGTTCTGAGGTGCCATGTGTCACAATATCATTGGAGGGCCAAATCCGCCCTCATCACCAACCATTTCGGATAATAGAGTGTTCACAACTTTCTGATAATCACTCACGTATTAGTACCAAACAAACAGAAAATGTTTGTATTGCTCCGGGAAACGTCCTGCCTGAGCACTGTTTCCAAACAAAATACAGAAACCATTTTTTCAAAAAAACTTCCAACAGCAGCATTGCAGCACAGTTTCCTGTTATTGGAAAAAACGGTGCTGGCCAAACATATACGAGGTAAATGGCAAATTTGAATCGGATGAAATGACGTGGGGCCATAAGAATACATCAAAAACCGTGATTTCATGGTTTTAGCCCAAGTGTCCAACACTATTCGCAGTGGAGTAAGAAGTTTGTTTCTCCTCGGCCTACAAGATTTGAATAATTGAATCCACGTTGACACGCTTAGAGGCAAAATTAGACGGAAACAGACCACCCACAGCCACATGCCACATACTTCCAAGAAATTCTTCGTATTCGTTTTCTACTTTTTTTTTATTATAATAAAGCAGCAATTCTTGTATTCTGAAATATTGCTCCTAGATTATGTTTTGAGCCAAATCATGGAATATAATATTCTCTTCTTTTATTCTTTCTTTCTTTGTAAACAAAAATCTGAACATTACGAGCTACATAAGGCTAGAGCTGCACCTGCGGATTGTCCTATTGATCATACAAGTAATGCAACTGTATTATTCGAACCCCAAATCCCAAAGTCAGAGAGAGAGAGAGAGAGCTCAGATTCTGGCTCACGGATCATCATGCATTATCAACATTTGAATGAACCATCCATTAAATATTAACCATACTTTATTAATCGATAGCAATACAGATACAGCTAAGCAGTTTCCTGTTTATGAACAGCGGTTGAAAATTAATAGAGCATGAAAGAATGATAATAAGAATTAATAAAGACAACAAAAATACAAGTACTCTGTAAGTGCTAACAGGTCGTCGGACGATCCTCAAACTCAAACAAAAATATAAGTTGCACATTGAACCGTCATCCCAAGAGTAGCAGCTAGTATGATGCTCACAAACGAGAACCCACTACCACTTGCAGAACTCGGCACTGTATTCTTATTGGCATCTGCCAAAAAAAAAAGTGGAAGAGATAGATTGTTAATAAGTGTTGTGAGATGATGGTAAATAAATGAAGAGACGGAGAATAGAGAATCACGAGGAGATCGAGGCAGAGTTACCTGTAAGACAAGAGATGGGATTAACACTCTGCCCGCATTTGGCCGGTAATTGCTGGGCTTCTGTGATATTGATCCCAGCCTGCTGAGCCATGGTGCTGCCCTTAGCACTTGCCAGACCACAGAGACATTCAGGGTTCGATTCGATTACCGACTTCAGCGGGTCACAGCAACTACTTGGTGGGTCAATATTTGTCCCGTTGAGATAAGTTAGGCAAGGAACTAGTTGGTTTAGACATGACGACGTTTCATCCTGAGCCTCGCAGTGCTTCCACGCCAAAATCGCCAAGCCTAAAACCACTACTACTACATACCTACATCCACCCCAAACCTTCTCCATTTCCTTGGTAATTAATTTCGTCACTCAATTGTTTACTAGACCCTGATCAATGCACTTCCTGTTTTCTGGGGTGCTTGCGATCGTTTATATACATATATTCAACTATTACTATCATATATATATATATATATATTCACCTTTTTCTATTTTCTTGTCTTGTTCATCTTTGTCAACTGGGACCGTTTGGGTGGGTTATCCAACTTGCTGGCTATTTAACGTTTTGGCCTGTGGCCGGCTATGGATGCAAATTAGGTGTAGCTATAAATTTTAAGGTCTAATTAGACTGCATTTGGTATTCCTTATTTTAAGGATTTGCATGGTCTCTTTTTTGCTGTTAAAATGGGACGCGGGATCTCTTATCCACGAGAACTTTGTTCAGGTCGATTCACAACACACTACCCCGTGAATTGGGAACATCTCCCCCTGCATAATACTATGCAGAAAGATGAGATATTTTCTGTGTGTGGCTGCAATGTTATATGAGCAAACGTGGACAAAGTTCTCATTTTTAATTACAAAAATGAGATAAATCCTTAAAATAAAGAATGCCAAATACAGTCTAACAAAAACATTCAGAGAGAAAGAAAGAGAGATTTTAACAAGAAATTCATTAGGTATGATCAGTATATGCACTCTACGTGATCAAGCATATGTGTATGTATGCATAATAGCACCTCAGCCTATTCTCTTCTTCTTCTCAACCCGTTTAAAATTTTGTGTTTTTTATTTTAAAAAGTAAATTACAAGGGCTATTTTTTTTTCTTTTTGGCAAAGAAGCAATTCATTAAAACACAGCACAAGGTGAACAGATTACATAACAACCACACACTACAGCCAACAAACAAAGAAAATGAAAGACCAATACAAAAAAACCTACAGCAGAAAACAGATAAAACTCAAAACAACAAACTAAAAACCCCAGATAACATGTTAGATAACAAAAACTTATTATAATAATTAATTAAGTTTTAACACAATGCTCTGGTGAATCTGCGCTTATCCACACTTCAAGTCTAATAGACTTTCACTAAGGGGGTGATTAGAGAATAAATTAAAACCTATTCAGTTAATACCTTACCTAACAGCTTAAGATTTTATGTTTAATGCATGGTTCCCTTAAAGACATCATCTCAATCTATAGCTAAAGAAAGCCAGTGTGGCAGACAGTCATCTAATTACCACAATTAATCTCAAAACCATTTTATGGCCAAAATGCGGGCCACCCATTCGATTCACCGGGAACCCAGGAGAACATGACAATCACATCATTACAATTTAAAAAGCTATAGAATATCTTCCTTAAAAAAACTAGATTTGAGTGACTGACATGAACCAAGAGTGACGTTTCAGCCCAAGGTCAGAATTTTTAGGTCCCAAATACAGTTGGAGTGGGTGTCAGCTTGGAATTGATGCCAATTCATAGGCGGTCATTGGTTTATAAAATAAGGGCTTTTGACATTTTAAATGTTTATAGTTCTGCAGTGAAAATCAAAAATCTACATTGGGTCTGCCTGTACTTTTCGTATTTATATTTTATCATTGAGTTGGTTAATAAGCTGGAGAGAAAGTCCAATTCAAGGCTTCCTTAATTTTGATCTCACTATCTTCAAGACTTCTAAAAGGGCTAGAGCTTCAGCTGCAAAGGGGGAAGGTGCATATGCTGGACCGACCACAACCTGCCCGCCAACCATAATCTTCACAGCACCAAAATCCGGTGGAGACCAAAAAGCAGGAGCTCTATCTCTAGCTGTTGAGGAGTTTTCCATCCCTGATGCTAAAGGATATAGCAATATAAGGATTAGTATCCTTAGCTTCAAAGTACGTAGAACATGTTTTTATCTTCCCAAAGTTCCCAGTAAATCAAAGACGGATCACTTTCAACAAAAAATCAGAGTTTGGGAGTTTCTTTATCTTGCAACAGGCTATTAAACCAGCTACCAAAAGCCAAATTTTGATTAATACCATCAGTACATATCAAACCCAAGCCACAACTTAATCTGTTTTTATCACACAAAAGTATTAAAGCATGCAAGGGAATTTACGATCATAGAACATCATTAACGTAAGGTTCAATTTGAAAAGATTATAAATACAAATATATACAGTATAAATATAGACAAAATACAAGGTTTTGCACTTTATATATTTGCATTTATACTCCTTCCAAACAAACTGAGCCTAGTACAAAAGATGTTTTGGATATGCAGAACTATGTAAACATGACCAGCAATGTGTTGTGGTTATCAGATCTTAATTTGAAGTATTGGAGGTTATGTCCATATCTGCAACATGGCATGTATCTTATTAGTTCGAGTTGTATTTTTGTTTTTTCATTCTAAAAAGTTAAATCTTGGGTCCTGGTACACAAACCTGCTAATGTGTGTGCCTCTAAACCGTGGTTTTTAATTTCTGTAAAAGCATAGAGAATTTTGAGTTTTGGATTGTAGTAACCGAAATAAAATTCCACAAAAAGGTGAATTTATTTTGGAAGAAATTTCAGAAGTTTTCCTGAAGATTCAGGTTATGTTCTAGTATATGTCATACAAAATTCATTTGAATTTAGTAAGAAACCTACAAAAACAAATTGTATAGATACACAAAAGTTATAAAAAAGCATAAGAGAAGATTCTTCTAGATAAGATTTCAAACTTTTAGATTTTTTTTTTTTTTTTGAGAAAAGTTAACTGATTGAGAGGGATATACAAGTGGGTGTACAAAGAAAACAAAAAACAGGGATCAAACCCCTGAAAATTACAGAGAAGTGATCTTATCACAATACAGAACTTCTAAAAAGAGAACCTAATTTTGCTAACCCATCTGCAAGAGCATTGAGTTCCCTAGTCTATTGATTAAACGGATTCCTGTAAGTGCAGCCATTACTTCTCCCTTTGTAAAGTCAGCTATACCTATTAGCCCACTGTACACCCAGCAAATGTTCCCATTTTCATCCCCTAATACTCCTCCAATACCAGCAGCTCTGGTGTTACCCGAAGCACTTCCATCAAAACTTGAGTCCAATTTTTTTTAGACGATAATTGGTTTGAAATGGATATCAGATCCCAAAATTTTAAAACCTTGCCTCTAACTTGAAACAAGTGTTTGAACTTGTCCTTGACTCAGCCAGTCAAGGATTTGATGATTCGGTCAATGATCTGTTGATCCAGATGATTGAATTGTATGCCCATTGATTTGGAGTCTGTATTTGTTTTGCTGTGCAACTTTGAACTGGATACACATTTGACATACTGGAAACAAATTAAATTTGCATCATCTACCTCTTACATCAATTCTGTCATATAAAATGAAGACCATACCATCTTGCTTTTTAACAATCGAATTTAGCTTTAATTGAATAGTTTAGACTCAAATTCAATTGGAGTTGATTGGAATTCGATGTTAATCAAGTTTAGATCTTAGGGTAAATTTGATTAATTATTCGGACTCGTTATCATTTGTTAATAGAGAAGATCATTTTGTTGAACATATTAACTAGTAAAGGTCTGTTAGAAAAATGGAAAGCTAATAATTTCCTTTTTTTCCCTCCACGGCTAGTAGTAATTTTGTTCAGGGATCATTGTTAATTTGTTTTTGTCCTACTGTGTAAGTTATATGTTTTTATCCTGCACAGCTAAAAATTCTTGCCTTAACCAATTAATCCGGAGGACTATCCATTATTTTCTCTTTCTTTTATTTTTATCCATGAAAGCAAAAATCATCCATAAAATACTCGTATTACAACAATAGGGAATTCAAGCAACAAGAAAAGGGAAAATCTATACTACTATTAAAAGTGTGGAAGTTTTATTTAACTAAAATATCCCAATTTTTGAATTTGATTGTTCTTTAATTATAAGGACAAAAATGTAATTTGAACAACTAATTTTGTCTTCATCCAAAACCCTCTCATTAAGTCTTAAGGTATTAACTCTCACTAACATTCATTGAATCCTATCCTTAACTAGAATACCCCTATTTTTAAATTTGATCTTTTTATAACTGTAGAGACATAAAATGTAATTTGGACTACTACATTTCTTATAATTAAATTTAATCTTTTTAAGTCTTATATTTAAAGTATTAACTCTCATTCTTTTGTTGAATCCTACATTAATTAACTATATTAAAGAAAAATAAGTCTCATTCTTTCATGGAATTGTTTTACTATTTGGTGGCAATTCAACAATTCAACCTTTTGAGTCAAATGGATAAACCTATTATGTAATAATAATAATAATATACAAAAATTATAAAAAAAATGAAAACATATTATTTTCTATCATCATCACCATCATAAAAAAATTGCCATGTGCAAAAATGTGCACACCATCATAAAAAAATAAGTCTCATTCTTTCATGGAATTGTTTTACTATTTGGTGGCAATTCAACAATTCAACCTTTTGAGTCAAATGGATAAACCTATTATGTAATAATAATAATAATATACAAAAATTATAAAAAAAATGAAAACATATTATTTTCTATCATCATCACCATCATAAAAAAATTGCCATATGCAAAAATGTGCACACTTACTAGTAATACAAATGCTGAAAACTTCAAGTGTGATTTCCTCAAAATGCAGATGATTAGAGACCAAATCGCCTTTAGGGGGGTTAAGGATAGCGCTAAGATTGGCCATATGGCAATCAATTCGTAGTTTCATGGCTTAGGTGGATGTAGAAGGTCAAATGCCTTCTCCTCCAAATATGAAAAGATAAACTTATTTTCTTAATAAATTGGCATATCAAAACAATTAAACTCCCCATAAAAGAGGAGTAGACATAGATAGGCCTCCCTTCAATCGGGTTGGGATCTCCTACCAACAAAACAAGTTCCAACACCCTACCAACTTGATCTGACACCACACATCTCACCACACAAAACAAGTTCCACCCACCATGTATGAGATGTGCGGTGTCAAATGATGTTGGTAGGGTGTTGGAGCACATTTTGTTGGCAAGTGATTCAGACTCCCTTCAATCCATGGTAGACCGCTCTATCCACACAAATACGGAATTCAGACCATC